TTCTACTTCCCCAGCTTGCCAAGCATGGTTTCTGGTCCTCAGATTTGTTGGGCACCGGAAAAGGAAGGAAAGTCGGGCTTAGGAAAGTTTTTGCTTGACTGGCCCTGTCATAAGATGACATCACCCCCCTGGGGCTGGCAGGTGTTTAAAAGTTGATTCTTTCTCTCACAGTTGCTTTTGTAGAGCCGTGGAGACAGCCCTGGGAATATTCAACATAACTCCTGTGGTTTTAAAATAATGCATTTTCCCTGGCGATGACTTCCCACTATCCTCTGTCATTTTTGCAGCCCACTGTACACACGTTTTCTCATGGGTCCCACAGACATGCTCCATCTAGGCAGTCTTCTCCGGCAAGATTAGAAATCCTCCAGTCAGCTCCCTCTCATCTGGTCCATAGAAAAGAATCCCACATTCTTTGCCAAAATCAACTCTGGAAGTATAGGTCCATCCCGAGGTAGTGGCAGTTTTCCTCTGCTCCATCCCCAAAGCCGCTGGCTGGCCAGTCAGTCCCTTGTCTCCTGATTTCCTGGGTGAGAGTCAGGTCCCAATGCCCCGGGCCTCTTTAACCATAGTGACTTATATTAATCTCTCAGGTGGTCCCCTTGGCGTTGCTCTTACCAGGGTTGAGGTGAGAGACAAGCGCCCACCATGCCTTCTTCCCTTCCCATCCAAGGTAGGTGGCACCAGCAGCCCTCTACAAAGAACCCCTTTTCAAATATCTCCCTAATTTTCATCAATCCAATCTCTTCATTCCCAATATAGATGAGGGGGTCTAAAGAGTCACAAAACCTGTTTTTACAATTCCTGTGTACATTCTGTATATAGTCTACTGTGGAATACAGCATCTATGGGGTCCTGCTGCCTCAGTGAAAACTTCCAGCTTGCCGTGTTGGTACCTACTGTTAGTGTTTTGCATTAGTAAGCAGGATTGGACTACTACACGATCTAACCTTATTTTCTTTCCTTTGAACTGCATCCAAGGTCAAGGTGGAACTAACCTGGGATTCAAGAAGCTTGCCTACAGACCTCACATCTCAAGTTTTCCCCCACAATCTGTGGGGCGTGGATTATTAGGGGTTAGGAAACCTCTTCTGTAAAGGACAAAAAGGTAAATACTTCAGGGTTATGGGCTACGCAGCGTCTGTCACAATTACTCAACTCTGTCATGGTAGTGCAAAAGCAGCTACAGACGATCATAAACAAATGAGTGTGGCTGTGTTCCAGTGAAATTCTGTCTACAGAGCAGGCAGTGGGCCAGATTTGGCCTGTGGGTCACAGTTCACTGACCCCTGGATTAGATTAGTGAGTAGAGAAAGATGAATGGTGACCCTAACTATACAGGGGATTTGCTGGGGCAGAAATGGAAGAAAATCTTAGTGAAGTTACTGAAAGCCCATAGACTATGAGGGACAGGAATCTGCTTTGTTCAGGTGATGTGAAGACTTTAGAATTTTAACTCTGGAATTTGAAGAAAACCTCAGAAACTCAAGCTGGAAAAGGCTCGTCATTTTTAAACTAGCAAAGTGTGACGCTCAACAAAAAGCAGGAGGAGCAGGGAAGTCAGTGCTGAGGCGTGTTCAAGATCACCTGCTGTTGTCAAGGTCACTCTAGGCTTCACGCACAGCAAGCTCTCTGTAGCACACTTTCATGTCCCTGCGCCTTCCAACAAATTGGCACACCTGCCTGGACACCACTCTCACTTCCACCCTTCGCTTCATGAAAAAGTTGTTCACAAACCCATTCAAATATGTAGCAAATGCTTTATCGCCCAGGCCTTAACTGAGTGTGCCCAGCTGGCTTCCAACAATCAGTATCTGAATCTTATTGCCCAGGAGCTTTCCCTAAAGCTGAGAAGACCTCTCTGCCAGATCCAGGTGGGCCAGAAGTGCTGGGAAATTAACATCCTCCAGGAGCAGCCATCAGCCAACGACTGACAGGAGTGGAATGGAAATACCCCAACACCCTTCCCCCTCGGATGAGATAACTCAAGAGTGCGAGTTATACTGTTTCACGGAGTTTTCTAATGGTTTTGAGCTCTAGTCAACCCCAGTGGAAGGCAGCTTGATAACGTATCCTTTGCTGGGATCTTCCTCTTCCTGGTTTACTTCCCTACTCCCTACTAGAGTTTTCTGCACTTTCCAAATAAACTCTTTGCTCTCAAATCCTTGCTCAGGAACTGCTCTTGGGGGAACCCAACCTAAGCAGAATGTCACTGTCTCTGTGTACCTTTCTTCAATTTCTCCATTCTACTTTCTTCAGCAGGGGCCTTTGGGCACCCATCACGTTTCACTATAGTCATTTGAGTCAGATGGGCCTCTTCCACGGAATGGAGAGTGAGTTTTCTAGAAATGGATCTTACTCATCTTTGCTTCACTGGCATTTTCCCTCATCTGTACGCAGTGTTCAAGATGTGTTTGCTGACTACCGGAAGCTTGATGTGTAGGTAGGCTAGATATGAAGAGGCAAGTTTGAAGGGGCTGGTACTGCACCACTAACCACGTGTAGTAGCCACTAGCCACATGTGGCTATTTAAATTAAAAATGAATAAAAATTAAAAATTCAGTTCCTCAGTCACACTATCCACATTTTAAGAGCTCAATAGCCGCATGTGGCTAGTGGTGACCATATTGGACAGTGCAGATATAGAACATTTCTATCACTGTAGACAGTTCTGTTGGACAGTGTGGGGCTGGGGAGCAAAATGGAGCGCACTGAATCCATGATTTGGTTATGAGCAGTTTTGTGTGGGTCACAAAGTTCCTAAAAGCTTTCAGGGATCAGGGGAGTACAAAAAAGCACATATATCCTGCACTTGTGGTTACCTCAGGGCAGACACCACTTTACAAAGCAAGAGACAACCAGTGATGTAGAGTTAAGTTTTTAAATGATTGCTTTATTTACATTTTGGCTGAACCACAAAAAAGAGAAAAGGTACTTCAAAGTTTCCTAGCTAAATTGAGATTCATGTTGCGTGGTTTAGTGTTCCAAAGTACACGTCCTGTGCTGCCTGTGTAGGGTTAGATTGAGTTAAGAACTTTCAGACAGGCGTGAAGGTAAGAAGTCAAGGCTGCTCACCAGCGGTCTAGGCTGGATGGAATGGATGGCCAAGAACGTGCGTATCCCTTCTCCATGCATTTGATTAGGCAGTGGAATGTTTGGAATTAGAATGTTTTCTGGTTTTAAAGTGGAAGTTTCTCTCATTTGGCATTGACAATTTTGTTTTAAGACATGATTTTGAACTCTGGCAGCGTAGAACATGAACAGCGTCCAACTCAATCTGACGGTGAGCTCCCTAAGGGCAGCGCCCGTGATGTATTTAAATTAGTTTGCCCAGGACTTAGCTGAGAACATGGTAGGTGCTCAGCAAACATTTACTGAATGAATGAATGAATGAATGAATGGTCAGCGACCAGATGAATGAATGAACATGTGAAACCTTTCACCTTTGTGAACAATGGGAAATGCACTTGGTCTTATGGCCAATGGGAAGTGATGCTGTGGAATTGTCCACCATGCCCCACCCTCCTCTGTTTGTTACAATCTATTTTGTAGACTTTGGGCATCCAGCTCCTAATATGTTAGCAAGATCAGGGTCTACTTGGGCTACAAGGGGGCTTGGAGATGATCTAACCAGATTGCAGAGCTAATTCATGGCAGGTGGCTTCTAATGTCCTTATGGCTGGTAGAATGGATACCACATCTAAATAGCAGCCTAGCCTTTTATTTCTTTTATAAATATATAAATTTAAAGTTTTACTTATTTTTTGAATAGATAACATATTCTCATGGTTCAAAATCCAAAAGGCACAAAGGACGTTCAGAGAAAGTTTGCACTCTTTCTCCTGTTCTCCACCCACATCCTTCCCAAAAGACAATCATTGCTACTGCTTTCTTTTGTATGCTTTAAGAGATGTTCATGTATCTAAACACAATGAAAAATGTGTGTGTATCTCCTTTTTTTTTTACATATGGTACACTCTGTTTTACCATTTTTTTTTTTTCAATCAACTATTTATTGCTCTTGGTACTTTGACTCTTTATGCTGTCTCTTGGCCAAATTCTTCTCTGGGTGCTCCTAGCACCTCTCTTATCAGCCATTGATCTTTCCTTGCCTCCACCCTTGCACTTGCCTCCTAACTTACCTCCTTGCATGGTTCAGGGACCTCCACTCCATTCTCTATGTGTTACCAGCTTCGTCTTCCTAATGTACCATGTTGATTGTTTTACTTCCCGCTCTAAATCCTTCAGTAGCTCCCCTTGCCTTCCCAACAAAGCCCAAGATGCTTTACCTGAAGTTCATGGCCCATCCCAACCTGCCCACCCCACCCTACCTTCCACACATATCCGTGCCCTCCCTTCTCCCTTTTGTATTGTCCATTCCATTGGCTTAATGTGCCTTCCTCCAAATCCTCTCTGTTTCCAAATATTGCCCCACCTTCAGAGACCCGCTCAAAAGCCACCTCCTCCATGAAGTCTTCCTCTCTCAGATTCCAGCTGGAAATGTTCTCTCCTTTCCTGGCCTAGGTATAGTGTTGAGTGTTTGCACTGGAGTTAGTTGTTTCTGTCTTACACCCACTACTAGACGGAAGGTATCATGGGGGCAAGGATTGCGTTTGTCTTACACATTTTTGCATCCTTCACTTAATTTAAAGTAATGTTTGTGCATTCTGTCTGTATCACCTAACACACAGTTGTTGGATGAGCAGTAGGACTGGTGTTTAAGAGGATAGTGTCCACACATTTCAGGGCTCTGAGAAGTTTCTATGAGCAAGGCCTTTATTCTCTATTCTCTAAAATACCAAATTGCTATTCTTCTATTGAGTCGCTCATGGGAAATTTGGTCATTCAGTGTAACTAGGAAATCAACTCACTATCAATAATATTCAGAACATGTGTGACATGCTGTTATGTTACTTGAAACTATAAATCCATAAACTAAAAAAAAAAAAAGCCTTTTCATCAAGAAAGGAAAGAGCTAGTCACAGTACATTAAGAATGTAGCTGATTTATTGTATTTTGTGAAAGATGTTTCATTTATATCAATAGCTGGCTAAAGTTAAGTTTTAAAATATAAAAAGTTTTAGCTGCCTGTAGCTGCATATAGTAACTATCTAACATTCAGTTTCATTAAAACATATATAACTCTTCATTGAATCAAGCAAAGCTCTGCTTTTAAGGGTTGATGATAAGTAAGCTGCCCAGCCGTTGACCTCTGGTAATGACTTTGGGGTGCATAAATATACTGCCATCCTTGAGTATATATTTTAATGTCTTCAAGAGCTTCAGCGTTGCACTGGAAGTTCAAAGGACTGGCGTAGAGGTCAATGTGATTGACAACGTATTTGCTTCAACTTCCCAGTGCATCTTCTTTAGGCAATTTTCTGCATCTGATCTAAAATACAGCAGAGAGTTCCTGCTCCCCTGTTGATGGGGATACAGAACTGGTTCTTTCCAGTTTCTCGCTAGAAAGGAATGGGATGTATTTGCCCAGGTAGATGGCCACGTGCATGTGGAAAAAGTGGCGGAGGTGCTTCTGGAACCTCTCGCCAACAAAGGCGTAGATCACCGGGTTGACGCAGCAGTGCGTATAGGCCATCACCTCTGTCACCAGCAGGGCCATGTCCAGCTGTTTGCTCCGTTCACAGCTGGTCTCAAAGAAGACCGTTTGAAAAGTGGAGATAAGGATAACCAGGTTGTAAGGTGCCCAGAAAATGAAAAAGACCACCATGATGACAAAAATGAGCCGTATGGCCTTGTACTTTTTTTTACTGGGGCATCTCAGCAATGTTTTAATGATTCCTGAGTAGCAGACAGCCATTACAAGCAGAGGCAGAGCGAGACCCAAGATATTCATTCTCAGAACATGAAAACGTTTCCAGGTATCTTCTTCATTTTCTGGGTAAGAAGGAAGGCAGATGTACTGTCCAAAATCCTCTAGGGCCCCATGGAAGATAAACTCAGGGAGGGCTGCTAGCCCCGCCAGGACCCAGGTCAGGACACTGGTTATGAGGCCAAAAGTGACAGTCCGGGCTCGAAGGGCAAACACAGCGTGGACGATGGCCAGATACCGGTCTATCGTCAGCAGGATGATGAAAAAGATCTCACTGTACAAGCCCGTGTAATAAAGCCATACGAGGAACTTACACATGCAGTGGCCAAAAACCCACTCATTCCACCTGACATAGTGAATCCAGAATGGCAGAGTGAATAGAAAGAGCAAGTCAGAAATTGCCAAATTGAGCAGGTAGATGTTGGTCATAATCCGGAGCCTCTTGTATTTCGTGAGGATCACCACCACCACCAGATTGCCCAGCAGACCAATCACAAACACCAGAGCATACAGTGGGGGCAGGAACTGGGCTGCCAGCTCCTTGATGTTGATTTTTTCACATGGCACTGACCAATCATAGTCATAAGGTGTGGTTCCGAAAGCCTCATCCACACTCTCCGTCCCATCTAAAGAGGTCGACATTTTTCTTGGCCCTGTGAGAGAAGAAGAAAAAAACAACCACATAATTAGGCATGATCAAACTTTGTGAACCACACTAGTTGATTCATTCATTTACCCAACAAAACCATGTGTGATAAACAGCCTATACACTTAAAGGTTCTTCAACATGTATTTCAAAAGGTATATCAGAGATGCTATGGGGGAGGTGTCAGGAATGAAAGATCTGAAGTTTTGAAAGTCAACATGACCTATGATGGGAAAAGAAACAGAAATGTTGGGGATGGTGGTGAAGAATGGGGATGTTGACTTCTTAATGCATTTGAAGGAAGAAATGCAAAACAGAAACAAACAGGCTGGATAATAATAATAATATTATAATAATTACTATTACTGTATATTTTAAGGCATTTTGCATTCTATGTTTTACAGTTTATATATGATGTTCAAAATCATCCTACCTATTTAAAAACCAAATGCTTATACTAATAATGGTGGTTATTATTATTACAAATAGCTACTCCTCTCTGTGGCTCAGTAACAATGTGCTGTTCATCACAGCTAATGGGGAAATTGAAGCTTGAGGAAATTTAGTAATTTACCCCAAATCCTCTAACAAGTAAGTACAAAAGTTTGGGCTAGGTCTTCGGTATCTATTTCCAATTATCTCATCACTACAAATCAAATGCAGTGATTTTTAAGTCTAACTGTTGAAGATTTAGCTATTGTAATTATTATTAACTATTGTAACAATTACAACTATAAGCAGCATTAACCTAGGTTATTTCCCTTTTCCTGCTCCTGAGAATGCTGAGATAAATGTCATGTGCCAATAGCAAACCCCTTAGAGTTTCTCTTTCATAAAGGCGCTGAACAGAAGGGATAGGCCATTGGCATTTCTTATTAGATTTGGCAGTTTTTAGACCAGGATCCCTAGGGCCAGTGCCTGCTTTTCTTAAGATTACAGACTTATTGGAGAACAAGGAAAAACAGACAAGGGAGGAGTCCCATGAAGGGCAGTTAATCCCAGCACTGCTTCCTCGGTTGGAGTCCCACTGAGTTTCTCCTTTCTGTGAGGAAGGGACAAGTGTGAGAATATGAATATATAAGTCAACGGGCATTTTTCAAGGTAAGTCTTAGAAAAGCAATAATTGAAGCCAATGGCAAGGAATCGTCTTTGCTTCTTAATAGAATACTGAGCCCCCAGAAGTCAGCCACTGTGAGGGTTCTGTGTAGTCAAAGTGAGAGTAGAGATGGGATATACAGGAACCATTCCAACCGGTTCCTCTGACCAGCTGTAGGACTTGGGCAAGCCCTTAACTCTGAGCCTTATTTACTCATCTCCAAAATAAGGATCATGATGCACTCAAGGTTGTGGTGAGGATCCAATGAGAGAGTGTACTTGAGGTCATATTTTAAACTCAAAAAAGCTGTAAAATTGGTAGGAAGCAGAAATGAAAGAAAGACAATGAGAAGCCATTTCATATGAAATTAGGAAAAAAGTAGGGTCTCTTGGCTAGAACTTGATCTATTTTCATGGCTCTGTCCTGGTACGCCACCCACTGATGACGTATGGAGGCTTTTGAGCTGTAAAATGGAACTGAGAAATAACCAATTTGTATGATCTTATCAGCATTCTTACTCCTATTGGCATAATCCACAGCAGCTGAGAAAAAATACCTATCATTTTGTCTGTTATGCATTTAAAATCACAGAGAGTGTCCCTCTAAACTTTAGTGTCTAAAGCAAAAGTATAGTGGCCTCTTCTTTTAGGCTAAATTATTCATATTTTCTTTCCTTTTCCCCAGACTGATCTAAAAACAAGTCAAACTTTTAAAAAAAATTCACTAAAATTTTGTTCAACTTGAGAGTCATGTCTTTAACTCACGTGTCACTTCCATAAAACCAACATTATCAGTATGATAAAATGGTAGAATCTTTTGGAGGCTCTAGAGTGCAAAGCGCAGCGAAGCATGTGGTTTCTCTAGAGTCAGAAGCCAAGTCATGGATTACTAGTTACATGAGGTCAGAGATATGAAAACTGATATGGTTTTTGTCTGTTTATACAGCCCTAATCAAAACGAATATTTAGGTCTGAAATAGGGAAGAAATTTGAATTAGGCTTTTAAAAATGGCTTTTTGCATTTTGGAAAAATGAGATGGTAATAGTAAACAAACCATCAACACCAAAAATAAAGGAAAGTAAAAACCATCCCAAATCTCACCATGGAGTTTACCGCTATTAACATTTCTCTACGCAGATATGCATACATGGGTACAAGTTTTATCAAAAAATGAGGTTATACTACTTTAGCCGGTTCACTAAAATTACTCATAGCACAACTCAGCTGTGAAATGGAAATGAAGTTTCTCTAGTCTTCAAGACTATTTGGATCTCTGTTACCAACTTCCCACCTACTGGGTAGCAGGAAAAAGGATTCACAAATTTTAGTCCGAAGTGGTTTAAACTTAGCCTGATCCATTCATTTGAATGATGACTTTCGGTTTCATTCATCCTCTTTATGTTGCCAGTTTATAATTTCAGTTTCTTTTCTTCTCTCATTGGTCTTCTCTAAGATGGCAGTGGAGATATGGGAATGAGGCCAGCATGACTCAAGGCACGAGCAGAGTACGGAGGGGGTGCCCTGGTCTCCTGTTGGTGTTTGATTTATGCGGCTGGTGTCTGCTGAGGTGGGGTGACCTAGTCCCAACCCTGAGCCCTTTGCTGGCATCTGCCTCAATGGTTTGTAGGTAATGTCCTCGTGATCCACTCATTCTCAGTTTTCCTTGGGCATAGTGACCTCTCCCAGATGACAGAGTGTTCCCTCAGCTCTGGCTGGAATGAAGAACCCTCTGTTACTGCCACATCTCCACCAGATTCCCGGCCCAGGCTGTGCACCTTCTCCTGAACTGGCAGGCACCCAGGCAGACATGCTCCTCCTTGACTCTATGCCCACGCCATGTACAAACCAAGGACACCCAAGAGTGCAAACAAGATCTTTTTTCTGCCTGACCACCAACTCAACTGCACTGGCCACCCCAGTGGGTAAGGAGGTGCTTTGCAGAGAGACATCTTATGGGGGTCCCCCCAGTTTATCAAACAGCCCTCCACATCCCCGAATTCTGGTCAAAGACTGAATGGGGAGATAGAAACCCACAGGTGTGACTGCTTTCCATGACCATTGTCTCTTTTCTCACAATTTCTGGAGTCAAAAGGAGAAGACCCCCCTTCCCCCATTCTTATCTGGTCAGGTTCAACTAAATGCAACCTCCATTTTTACTATGTAATATGTAATGCATACCTCTCCACGTTAACAAGCATAGTTTTAGGTTCACCAAGTTTAAATTTTAAGAGTCTTGCAAGGTTGAGTTGAGAATAAACATCTAGAATTGGAGCCTTTCTTTAAAAAATACATTTAAGTTTGGAATGCCATTTTAATTCTCAAAAAAAATTTTTTTTAAGTAATGACACAATGCTGATGAGGTTGCAGAGAACCTGGAGCACTTATTGCTGATGCAATGTAACTTGGTTCAATAATTTTTGGAAATTATATGTATAACAAGAACCATCAAGATACACATGTCTTTGATTCAGTAGTTCTACTCCTAGGAATTTACCCTAAGGGGAAAAAGTTGACCAAACCAAAACAGAATTGTGCACAAAGATGTTCGTTGTGGCATCATTTTCGTAATAGAAAGAAACAAAGAAATGTGGGAACAGTCTAAATGTTTGACACATGAAAGATATTTTGAATAAACTGTAGTCTACTTGCACAATATATTATTATGTAGTCAGTAAAACTAGTTTTGGAGACCAGTAGAATCGCAGGCAAATGTTTATGAAAAATGAAGAGAATGTAAAGTGTGTAAATTAAGATTGCAACCACAAGAAACTATATGTACATATATAAGGCAATAAGCAAATAATTAAAATAGTTGTGGCAGGGAAGAGGATTATAATTTTTAAGGTTGTCAAATTTAAAATTTTTCTATATTCCCTTATCAATTAAACGGTAATTGGAAGCAAGTGCTTTTAAGCAGGGACTACTGAAGAGTTGGCAAACATTTTCTAAAGGTAATTGGCTTGGAAACCTAGGCAAATTACAAGTTGAAGGGTTTACTCCTCAGAACTTGAAACCACAAACTGAAATCTAAGAAACTTGAAGTGGAGGCCACGCTAGGCAGATCATTTGAATTTTGTTTTGAAGTTTAGAAATGTTGGTAGCTTGGTTCTCCTCTTCAGTCTTGGGTGGGGCTGACGTACAAACATGAGACTGGGGGAGGGGAGATTTCTCTTAGGGTCTTGAGACCTGAGCTGGCGGAGGCTCAGCCAGCCTCCACGAGAAGACTGAGGAGGCCCTTCAGATGACCATGCCATGCACCTCCATGTGGACACGTGGATGTCAGCTCCCAGGATGCCTCCAAATTATCCAGTGTGTGACACTGTCACACCCACATTTTCTCTTCTTCCTACTCCACGATTCTTAGTGTTTTTGGCAAATTCTGAAGTTGGAGGATAAATACAAGGCCCCTGCTCTTCTCTTGCTGGGCCCAGACTTTCAGCCTATGTGGCGGGGCACTGTGCTTAGATATGCCTGAGTGAACATCAGAAGGGCACTTCCATGAGTTTACAATAATTCACACCTCCTTGTCTTTGAAGAAGTGGAGATCATTTCCCTGCACCCTCAACACCTCCCCAAATGCAAGCCAGATCCCCTCCTAATGAATATCAACTCAGAGAGGCTTGTTAAACTCCAAAGACACTCCAAATAAAACCAGTGCACTGTGACTTTAACTCCTTGGTCTTGAGCAACAGCACACACGGTGCCTCTGAATAGAAGAAAGATTCATTTTTCAGCATGAATCAAATAATGCATGATATGGTCAAAAACTTTCTTTGTGTGATGCATTCTTTCCTTATTATCAACAACCACCTGGGAAGGGAAAAAATACTGGGAAGAAAATGGTCTCTGAGTTCAGGAGGTTGACATTCTTTATACATAATCAATGTGAGATCAGAGTCAATAGTAATTGT